CCCTATGCGCCCCCCGGGGCCGCCCTGCCCCTGAGCCCCGGAGCAGCAGCCCTTTTCCTGGAGGTGGTGGCGCAGGTGTGGGACCAGAAAGATGTTCTCAGCCCTGAAGAAGCTGGTGGGCTCGGACCAGACTGCGGTCAGAGACAAGAATATCCCTGCGGGGCTGCAGTCCATGAACCAGGCTCTGCAGAGGAGGTTTGCCAAGGGAGTCCAGTATAACAGTGAGTCGGAGCCCAGCTTCGGGGGGTCTGTCGGGGGGCACGGCCAGCCCCGGGCGGGAGGCAAGCCGCATCGGTCAGTCCCATCTGCTGCCCCGTAGCGTGCCTGGGGACCCCGGTGGGACTGTGAGATGCGTAGGCTTTCGTTGTGCCTGGTGGTGCTTTTGCCAGTATTTGCCTAAAGGCAAGTTTGCAATTAAATGTTAGAGCTTGCGGAAGCGTGGGAGGAGTAAGGGATGGGAAACTTGTACCTTTCTGTGCGGGACTCGGGAACCTGTGGTGCAGCAGTGTCCTCAGTCAGATGTCCTGAGCGGCTGCCTGCTTTCCGCTGACTGTGGCACAAGAGAGTTCCTTGTAAATCAATTTTTGTCAGTTAAAGCTTCAAGAGAGTAACTCCCCTGAGTGTGTGGGTGACCTTCCCTGCAGCCCAGGATAACGGTATTTATAATTAAGCTCTAGTGGTTATATGATAAGGGTCTGTTGAAAAGCTCTGCCCTGCCAGGCTTTAATAAAAGGTGAGTGATGTATGTCTTTATGTGCCCGTGGTACATAATTTCATTCTGACTCCCTTTTCTGCAACTGATACGTTTGCTCTTCCGTTGGGGAACGTTTTCAGAATTTTTTTCCTTTCAGTGTTGAGGCTTAGGGTTGAGTTTTTCCCTTAAAGCTCAGTAAAGGTTGTTTCTAAAATAATACTTCAGGAGGGCACTGCAAGTGTGTGAAATACATCCCAAAGTAACAGTTGTGAGACAGGGATGGTAGTTATGTCACCCGTGCTGAAAATAGAGACGGTACCAGGGAGCGCTGCGAGTATCAGCCGGTTATGAGGATCCAGGCAGGCAGTGCAGTCAGACTGCAGAAGGCCGAGGGGTTGGCAGTTGGGAGACTGGTTTGTAAACGTGGCACTGAATAGTTTCTGTAAAGGCACATGTGTTGGAGGAATAGAGCTTATGTTGGATCTTCATCTGAAACAGAACGTGAAGGGAGACGTTGGCACTTTGGGGTTTGGGGTTTTTTTTTGCTTTGTTTAGTATTATCAGTAGTGGCTGTGCTTTTGAACTGGTTTTGAAGCTCTGCTTTACTAGGGAGAGCATTTGGTGCCTTTATCCGTAGCACATCCATTAGGTAAGACACTAGCGCCTAATTTAGAAAATTAGTGTCTTAGCAAACATGAATGTGAACAGAAGCATGGTGGTGGTGTTAAGAGACATGATTTGTAGTGAAAGACAGGGGGTAAGGACGAAGCTGCTGTGCCTTGGCATACAGCACTGCGTCGTTAAACACGTACCTGGAGAGCTGCTCGTTAAAGACTGTTGGTCTGTGCAGAGGCTTCGTGCAGCCCACAGAGCAGAACACATCCACGTGCTTCCCCGGGACACCTTTGAGATCAGGTAGCTCATACCAGCTCGTGAATTATGTAGGAGAAAGGAGCTGACTTATCAGCCAGCGAGCGTTTGTGCTGCGGGCGGGCCGGGTCAGCTGCATCCTGCTGGCACAGCAGGCGACGGGGCAGCTCTTTGTTAGGGGCTGGCTGACCGCGCTGTCGGCGACCCTGCGTGGGTACCTGCTCCCACTCGTGCAGCGAGGCCAAACATGCCGGCAGCTGAGCTGCGAGCTGTGGCTTTGCTGCTTTTTGTCTCGTTACTTGAAAGCCTCAGGAAAGCTTTTTTTGGTTTGTGCTCTGTCTTACCAGGATTTGTGTTCCAGTTACTGCTTTCATGTCTGCAATAAAACTGCAGCTTTCTGTCGCTGCCTTAGGGGAAGCTTTCCAGTCTCCATAGTAACTCTTCCCAGGTCGGTGTTATATAATATTTGTAGGAGCTACAGGCAGGCTTACAAAAGGGCTCCGAAGTTCCCTACGTAGCCACGACACTGGGCAGATGGGGGGGTTCCAGCATGGTGGGGTGGTCTCAGTCGAAGGTGGGCCGTGAAGGAACGCCGTTACCAGGGCAGTTGCTCAGGAAGGGCAGAGCTGCAAATCCTGTGCGCTGTCAGTGCTCCTTTCTTGGCAAACACTCAGGAGTCCCAAGTGTGTTTTGTAGCCACCGCTAGCACACACAGATCTTTAAACCTCCTCCGTTCACCTGGAGTTGCCAAAACCTGAACCAAAGGGTGCTGTGACGACTGGTTTTATGGAAATGTTTCCTTGCTTTCATAGACCATTACTGGTCGTGAACTGAAGCCTATTTCCTTCCCACAAATACATTTAGTGTGCCAAGAATGCCTTTTGGTCGCTTGCTGATAAAGTGAGCAGCAAATGACCAGGACACAGGCCTTGTCACCCGGCTCTTGTCGCCCTGCTGCGAGGCTCAGAGCGGGCCATACTGTGCCAACCTTCGCGGCTGTCGAGTACATTTCATAACCGGACGGCCCACCCGGTTTGAGGTGATACTGCAGATTGTGGGGTGTTTTAGCGGCACTGAGGATTCCCAGCTCTGGATAGTGTGCACTTCCAAGTTGAACCAAAATGATTTGTTTTGACGGTCTCTCTCCCACTCAGTTAAGTTTTCAAAAGGAGGAGCGTGGCAGACTGGGAAGGTTTAGATTCCTAATGAAAGGAGAGTAAAGGCCAGTGTTAGCCCTTGGCAGCAGTCCCTTCCTCTGCGTGGGACATCCTGTTTCAAAACAAACGCATTCCCAGCACACACACTCATTTACTCTCTTTGTCATCCGCATGGAGCTCCTATGTTTTACACACCGTGGCCCAAATAACACCAGTGTTCCCTGAGTGCTATGGAAGGTACAGAGATGAAGATGGTGTGGGCCTGTACCATGGATGTAATGGCTTGGATCTTTACGGGAGATCACAGTTCCAAGTATGCGGAACCAATCTTTGTGTAAACTTGAGCTTTTTGTCCTGTTTGGGATAGCCTGAACTTGGATCAGGGCTGCTGCATCACCACTCAGGTGGCTGGGCTGGCCCGGGGAGGCTAGCACAGGCCAGAGTGAGTAGGCTCAGTGGAGAGTGAGCAAGGTGGATCTGAGTCCTTTGGCAGTGGTGCTTGTTTGAACAAACTAGGAGACAAATTGTAGAAGGAAGTACCAGCACCAGGGTACTCAAACATGAGAGTTTATGTAAGGCAGCGATGGGCAAACAAGAATGAAATGCACGGCTCTGGCTGGGTTGCGCTGGCGAGAGGATTCCCTGGGAGTTACCCGTTGATGGTCAGTGACAGCAGCAAAAGACGTGGAAGTGCTGAAGGTTCCGATCCATCCATCCTGTGCCCCAGAACACAGTACACCTGCTCTGGGCCTCGTTCTTAACACTGCATCCAGCGTGCACAGCGCTGGACAAAACCCCCTGCTGTGTGTGCCTGGAGCAGGGGCAGCTCTCCTGGGGAGCTGCAGGCCTGCCCTCAACAGTCACCGCTGCTGAAATACTGAAGTCGATAGCTCCAAGAATTTCCCCAGTCCCTCCCCTTATTACTTTTCTGCCTAAAATGTGCTTTAAAAGACAAAACTTAATTAATGCCATGTATCCTTTTGGTAAGCATTGTAGTCCTTACTTCTTTTGTGTTGTTATAGAGTAGTAGTTCCCAGGCTCTGACTGTAGGTTTGTTGTTTTCTTTCTTTCCCCAAAGCAAGGCTTCCCCTCTTTCTGCTGCTTTCCACCTCCTCTTGTCTCCTACGGCTGACGCAGGTGTTGGTGCAATAGTGGCAAACCTGCTTTGTCTGCTGTCTGGCCTGCTTCCCCCGGGACGTGTGCTGGGGGGTGTCTGCAGATTAGGTGTGCTACTTTTGGCAGCAGAACCAGCTCAAAGCATTGGAATTGCAGCCTTGTACTCACAGTCCCAAAGACCTTAATGAGGGCGAGGTTATGACCCTCCATACAGGGAATATTAGCAGCAGGGTTTGAGGATCTTTGCTGCAGGGTCTGCAACCATTAGTTGCTGCAGTGTCCTGGAGAAATAGGGGCAGAGCTGGGAATTCCTGATTTCTAGTTCTGGGTTAGTCTGAGACCTGGTCTCTGGGCTTGTATCTTCACTGCTCTGCTTCCATTTCCCCACCTGGAGAATAAAAATCCTTCTGTTTTTCCTGACGCAGTGACAATATGAATACAGTAATGTCTTTAGTTTTTTCCTCACCTCTTGATCTATTCCCCATCCCTACCCTCCTTCCCACAGGTAGTTCTCCCGTCTTTGCTACAAGCCTATGGCTGTTTGCAGTAAGTGCTGATTTAACTTAAAGTCAAATAAGGCAGCAGTTGTTCCTGTCCCGTAGGTAACAGTACTAACCTCACCCAGCGTCACTGGTGCTCTTTCTGCCTTCAGACACGGCCCAGGCCTGTGATGTGCCTGCCTGGCTGTGCCCTGAAGCTCCCTCAGCTCTTCCTGTCTCGCAGATCCCTGTCGTTGAGTAGACCTGCCCCAGCCAACGTCCCAAATACAGATTTTTGTTTTGCTAAAAATGATCTGCATCACCTGCCTTCTTCCTGTTCTGTTTTTAAAGACTTTTTCTTTCTTCAGGAAAAAAGTCAGTGAAAACTCATGCACTATGTAGGAGGAAAGAGATCTTAACATGGAGAGTGCTGGAGCTGGAAAGGGCCGTTGGACCTGTTCAAACTGAGCATGTGGTGCCACAAGCACCCTACGTTGATCTAAATGTGAACTGCTCAGGGGTGGGGGTGATCTCCTTGCCACTCCAGCCGTGCCTCCCCTACTGCTGCCCCTACTGCTCATGCAGCTGGGCACTTGAGCTAGAGAAGAAAACTGAAAATGAGTAATTTCAGGGTTAGTTTTCAGCCAGTTCTGTTCCTTGATCCAGCTCCATGTGTAGCTGCATAAATTACGCTGTTGGCACTAGGAAGGTCATGGGGGAGGTAAGATTGCCCCTTCTGGGGAGAGCTCACAGTGAAGGCTTTGGGGAGTGATCCTGAAAGTGCGCTTTGAGAGCAGCCTGACTATTTAAGGAAGGACTGTTTGTCCCTTGAAACTCAGTGTTTCGGTATCTCATGCTGCACTTCGTGGGGGAACATGTTACAATGGCTCTCAGGTAGGCGGTGAGAGCATTTAGGAAGGCTTGGGTTTTAAAGGGGACAAATGGAACCTCGTTCTGCCTATGCCATGGACTTGCTGCATTAATTCAGAGAAATCAAAGGAATCCTCCATTGATTGTTTCGCCAGTTGTGAGTAGGAGACAGAATCACACCCAGGGCGACTGGAGATGCAGGAAATGGTTTGTTGTCTCTGCAGAGATGGTCTGGGACCTGTAAGTGAAGTCAGTCTGAAAATACTAAGTTAATTTTTGCATTTTAATCCTTTTGCTATTTTAATAAGTAACTTTGTGAAAGAATAAACAGCAGTTCCTCTCAGTGTACAACAACAAAAGCACAGCAGAACGGCAGCACAAAATTTCACCAGACAGAACTCTTCCAGTGCCTTTGTATATGTTTTACCTTAAACTTTTCTCTGAAATGCCTGCAGTAACACCTGAGTTACCACAGAAGGCAGCCTTCAGTCTCAGATTTCCTTGCCCAAATGATGATGCACAACCTAATGCTAATCACCCGCGTCTGCCATTAGGTGTCTCCAAGTGGCCCATTTTCTAGGGGATAATAGCTCCTATTCAAAATGCAAGCATCAAAATTCTGTTCGAGTCGGCTTACGTTTCCCAATAGCCTTGTGGTTGCCACTTGAAGCGAGGATGGCATTTAAAAAAAAAAAAATCCCATAACATAACAGAAAATTCAGAAAACAACATACTGTTTTGAGAAAGAGCAAGGTAACATTAGGGTTGACCCTGGAAAATTCATGACATTAATTGCTACAGAAGTTCCTTTGCGGGGTTATGTATGGTTAGTGGTATTTTGGACGCTTCCTTGGGAGGGTTTGAATGAGTTTCTCTGTTGCCTGCCTTTCCTTGCTGCAGGTACAAGCACACTTGCACGAGGACAGGCAGGAGGTGGTAGATGAGCTGTGAGGCCGGTTGGTGGAAGTGGAGCTGTTGTGCCTTTACGCGAGACTGCCGCTCCTGAGGATGCCTTTGCCGAGTGCCCTCGGTATACCCGCACCCAAAACCAGCTGAGGGCTGGCTCCTGTGGCAGAGCCTGGCCCTCTGGCATGCGCAGCACCCACAGAGATTCAGTTTCTCTTGGTTTTATTTCACTGTTATTTAAGTGAATTTATGTTCCCAAAGAGGCATGCCCAGTTTGTTTCTAATGCATGTAAGATAGACTGATTTTGATTTAATTTCAATCAAAGTGTGGCCATCAACAGGGAGAGTTTGGTGAATTTATTGGGGGTGGTTTGAGATAGGTCCCTGGGAGTGTAAACTGTCTTGCCCCTTGTCCTTGCTGAGGATTGCCTCTCCACTGGAGACCATCTGGGCTGTGGGCTGGAGCAGCCGAAGAGCGATACACAGCCTTGTTCTGCTTCCCCAGAAAAGAGGATGCAGCCTCAGTGCAAGAGCTGGGGAGAGCTGAGAGCGATGACAGCTTAACTCTGCAGAGATGTTCACCAGAAGCTGCCTCAGCTCTCCCAGCGGCACCACAGGAGAACCGGTGCCAGGGTGCAGAGTCACACCCCTGTGGGATGTGGGGAGCAGCACCTCTGACACAGGACTCTGCCTGATCGGCTCGGCTGAGAACTGGTCCTTGAGCTTTCAGTAGACGGCTGGGTCTAGGAAGTGAGTAGGGGGCTGAGGAGATAAGGAGGCCTTGTTGCTCTCTACAGCTGCCTGGAAGGAGGTGTAGTGAGGTGGGGGTCGGTCTGTTCTCTCAAGTGACAAGTGACGAGAGGAAATGGCCTCAAGTTGTGCCGGGGAGGTTTAGATTGGACATGAAAAATTTATTCCCCAAAAGGGTTGTCAAGCACTGGGCCAGGCTGCCCAGGGGAGTGGTGGAGTCACCATCCCTGGAGGTATTTAGAAGACGTGTAGGTGTGGTGCTTAGGGACAGGGTTTAGTGGTGGGCTTGGCAGTGCTGGGTTAACAGTCGGACTTGATGATCTTGAAGGTCCAACAAAATGATTCCATGATTCTGTTTTCTCAAGGAATGAGAAGTGTTTAAGGAGAAACGGGAGTGATAGAGGAGGTAATAGAAGAAGACTGGCATAAAAGGCTGGTGAAGGAACAGCGTGTGGCAGAGTGGGAGTGAGGGCTAGGCAGGAGGATGGAAGCAGCAGAGACTTAGCTGGCTGAAGCTGTGCAGATTCTGAAGACTCAGTCTTGGTGTTGGCTCTTTCTGCTGAGCTGGCGTGAGTAGCTGAATAAAGACTAATTTTAATGACTGAGGCTCGTGTTTTTTAACAAACCCCATCATGCTTGTGTAATATGGGAGAACTAATTACATCTGAATAATGCTTGCAAAAAGTTAACATGCTTTTCACAGCATCCTTTGATTCGTTTTTAATCAACTTTATTTGTCTGCTTGCTCTTTTCCCCAGTGAAAATTGTCATCCGAGGGGACAGGAACACTGGGAAAACCACACTCTGGCACCGACTGCAGGGAAAGAAATTTATTGAGGAATATATTCCAACTCAGGAGATCCAAGTCACCAGCATCCACTGGAATTATAAAAGTAAGATGGAAGAGGGTGGAGGGAGTGACAGTCATGGGACAGTGCCTTGGGGGTAGAAATTCCACTGCAGCCTCTTTGCTTCTTTCATTTGTGTCTGCTTGGGAGATAAAATGGACTCTCATCACTCTTGTTGTTATAATTTATTATTCACAGTTTCTCAGTCATGTTTTTTTTACTCAGAAACTATGTGTTGTAAGTGCTAAAAGATAGGTCTTTGGAAGCTGCAATTCAAGGGAAGTGTTTAATACATGATCCAAAAGATTTGAAATATTTGTGATATGCTTGATTTGTTAATGAAAACAGGTTTATTATGGAAAACTGTCTCTGAGGCGAACCCTGCTTTTAGTGTTACCATGTTGCGTAGAAGTGAAGAGCACGGCCCAAACTAGTTTCTTACTGATTAAAATATAAAGAGTGTCCTGTAACTGGTGAAGGTGATGTTTCAAAAATGAATGTAGTAATAATAACTCGAGGCTGACGTACTGAAGCACAGAAGTATCTTATCAGTAGCATTTTTTTAAGTGCTTGTTTGAGTCTGAGAGATGAGGTGTGATTTCCACCCCCCCATCTGCTCTGGCAGTATAAAGTGGCTGTGAAAGCCCTGGGCCTCGCCTGGAGAAGACGCTGCAGGCACTGCAATTGCGTAAGGCTGTGATTCAACAGTGTTTGAAGTCCAGCTTTCAGGTTCCTGATCAAAAATGCCCCAGCCTTGCAGGGTGAACTACTGATTCAGTATGAACTTGCTCTGTAAGACCGATTGTACTTTAAAACAAAGGTCAGCAGTTAGTTTGCCATTATCAGACATTGTCCATCTGCTCCACTCTGACCTTTTATTGAATCGGGCACTCTGTCTTCTCACAGCTGGAAAAAAACCCCTTGCAGTTTGGGTGAACACCAAATTGGGTGCTTTGTCTAATTCACCAATCCAATTGGTATTGCTGGATGATATCATGATGCCCAAGTCTCCAGATAATGATCACGGAGCTACAGTGTGCGTTCACCAGCAGTCAGCGCTGGGACAGTGCTCTCTCTGTTGCCTTCACAGGCTGCAGCGCAAGGAGAGCGAGCAGATCCCGCTGCTGCACATTCAAGGGGAGCTGGTAACCAGAGTTGGGGAGACTGGTGCCCTTAGGAAGACAGGTGTCCATCTGTGTGAGTCAGCTCTGTTGACACAGGTTGAAGAAGTTTATAAGGACAGATGGTTGTGATTTGCCTTGGATGTGGGAGGGAAACAGGTTGTCCTTGCTCAGTGCAACCGGCAGCATTCTCTCATTCAGGATCGGATGTTGAGCTAAGCCTGGTGTCACATGTTTTCAGATTCTTTCCGAGGACTCTCTGTATTTTAGCTGTGCCGTCCTTCCCCCATACTCCTCTTCCTCTCTCTCAGAATATCTGCACATCGGTTATTGATGTGCGAACACAGAGCTTACAGGTTGTTTGGATGATGGAAGCTCTCTCCAAAATCAAACTTGAATGCTTCAGCCTGAACAGACTTAGATCAGAATAAGAACTGAAATACCTGTTTCTTAGATATCCAAGTCTAAAGAGTGTACTGAATGTTAGTTGTGGTTTTCTGCAGTGTCATGGGTAAAAACTTGTATTACCTGATCAGCGCAGGTAGTACAAGTGCTGTTTGTAAATACAACCTGGGAGTCTGGCATTTAATTGCCAAGAGGCTTAGTGGTACCTGATTGGTTTTGTGAACACGAACAGGTACACAAAATGCTGCGGACAGGTTTTTGTATGCGTGCAAAAAATTGTTTGGAGAAAGATACAGTAATTGTTGTGTTTCTGCATGTTTTAGGGACTGTGTGTTTTTTTTACTGAGCTGAGGCATAGGCACTGGCATTTTCAACATGGGTGCGATCCTGGGGTAGAAAACGGCTACCTCTGAGGCTGGCGTTGGCTGTACGTGGGTAACTGCGGGTGTATGTGTTATTTCTAGGGCTTGGTTCTAACAGTGATGTGATATGGCTCTGTAAGCCTGCTGGTTAGAGTTGACAGCAATGTGTACATACGGTGACGGACTTTTCTCAAGGTGGTGTTGCTAGTCTAAATATCTAGAAGGCTGTACATGAAATCATAGCTTCCATTTGTGGTTTTTTATATTGTAAAACACTATTACTTTCTTAGTAAGAATTTCCAGCAGTATGGGAAATTCTCCATTGACCTACTTAAAACTTGTTTTAAACAACAACTCCGTTTTTAAAAAAATATTATAAGGTATGTTTCCTGCAGTGAAAACTTTCTATCCAAGGTGGGTGATATGGGTGCTCTGAGAAATTGGCTCAGATCTAATTACCACCCTGTTGGCTCAGTTAATCTGTAGAGGAAAAATAAAGTTTGTTTTTCCTGTGATCACGCTCTCAAGCTACCTTGAATAAACATTATGAGGTAGTTGGCAGCAAATATTTACGGATGTTAATTAAATCGCTGTCAAATATTGAAGGATTCTTACATTGCCTGGTATTAGAAGATTTACATTTTAAATGTGAAACATACCACCTTGTCATGTCTTCAGAAATTTTTTACTGGAGGAATTAATAAAGGTAGAAGAATTTGAGTTATTTCTTCCTACTCAGATTGAACAAAATTACTTTTCTGTGCCAATTCTCTCTGTAATGGATATTTGTAATTTTTGTGTCCAAGTAAGGAGTTACCTACCATTCCTGACTCTAATGAATGTTTTTTTAGATTATGCTAGTCACCAATTTTATCCTCTGTTTGGCAGGCTCAGAAAGGGAATCTGAAATAAAAATTGACAAATGCTTTTGTTCAAATACTTTGAAAGCTTTATAAATGGGTGTGAGGAATGGCAGAGCTGCTCTGCTCTGTAGCATTTGTGATCTGAAGCTTATGAAGAGAATCGTGTCATTGCATACAGTAAAAATGTCTGAGGGCCTGTGAATTCCTGGTGATGAACTCACCCATAAAGCAATAAATTGTTTTTTTTTTAAATGAGCTTTCTTGCAATTGGAGTCTTCTCACACCTCTCCACCATTTTCTGTGAAAGCAATGTCTTAGTGTGCCACCCGCTACAGAGTACTTAGCCAAAGAGCAACTGAGAAGAGATTTTGTGTGGTTTGATCCAGGGTTTATGCTAATCCAAGTTACAGAGTTAAAAGGATGAATTGGCACTCTTTTTTGCTGCAGCATGCCTTCCAAAGCCATTAAGGTGAAATGCTGCTCTGTGTGAGTCATACCAAAGCCAACACAGCAGCACTGAAGTAATTACCCTCTTGTGTGTTCAGGATAATCAGGAATGAAGCTGGTGATGAAAAGGAAGAACTTACTGGCTACGAGCTAGCAGGAGCACTGCTGCTAACAGGAGGAAAACCCATGTGGAAAAATGGTTTTCTTGGATCTTGTGCAGTTGGTTTCTTTGTGAAATTCTGTGCTTCCCCTCAGATAAAAGGGTGTAGAGCAGGTCTTAGGGGGTCAAACGCTTCAACTCCTCAGCCATCTGGGAGTGTTGCTGCTCAGCAGGGTGTCAGCACTGCGCAAATTACTCCTAGAAGAACAAATCTTAACTGAGGGTGCGTTTGGTGTTAGGGTGAGGAGGTGGAGATCTCTGGAGCTCGTGAGCCAAGTCCCAGTGCTAGGTACCAGGTCACCTCCTAGGGGAGCGCTGCACGTCACCCCAAAGGCTTACTGTTCTGAAACGGGGTTCCAGCTTCTCTGCAGAAGCCCCTTGTTAATGTGCTTGTGTGCCGCTTCACGTGGCACTGCTGGAAGGAACGAGCAGCCCTCTGGACTCCTCCTGTGCCCCTGCAAAGTTTGCTGTCGGAGAAAGGAAAACACCTCCTGTCCTTTTGCAGAAAGTCCTGATGTTGAAGGGCACCAGGATGGACTTTGCTGGTCTGTCCATCCCCTTGTCCTTCAGGGACAGCAGCAGCACTGCCAGTCCCAGCTGCAGGCTGTGAATTTGGGGACAGACCTCCACTAGCTGATCTGTGTCCCAGCACCTGCAGGGTCACGGCACGCCCTGAACGGCCCATGGACTGGAGCAGCCCATGTCCCAGGGAGAGCACCCTGCTGTGCCAGTGCCTGGGTGCAAGTAGCCGGACGTACCGTGGGGTGCCAGGCCAGTGAGTGATGGGGAGCGGTTGGGCTTCAGCCCTACCTGGCTTGATGGTCTGTAGAAAGAGTCAGGGACAGAATTAATCTGGGGAGTTTAATCGTTTCAGCAGAGGTTTTAGGACTGCAGGCTGCTGTACACCTGTCCTGTTTTCAGTCCCATCTGAGCCTGTGATGCACTGGCAGGGCTGAGCCTGGGCAGGTCTGTCCGTCCTGTGCCCCCTGCCCTGCTGGCAAAGCAGAAGAGAAGTGGGAGATGCTATGAGGAAAAACAGGCTGATTTTGCTTCATGCATAAATGTAAAAAAGGATCTTTCTCCAGAAGCAGAGGATCAAAGTTTTCCTTTATTCATAATCTGTCTTTACAGTATTTTGAAACATTTAAGTTAAGCCAACAGTGAATTCTGTAGAGGAAATGTTTCCTGCCTTGACAGTGATGCTTAGCTGAGTTCTCATGCCATCCTATGAGATTTACTTTCTGCTCTGAGACATTATCCTCCTTTTCTGTGGCTTTATGTTCAGAGCTGCTGCAAGTACAAGCTTTTGCTTGGTAGCCTATAGCATTTCAAAAAGCAACTGTTTCTTGGAACAACTTCCTGAAGGTCGGACTGCTTACCTGGACGCAACAGCAACATCTAACCAATCCCTCGTGCTGCCTGAAAGTTAAGCTGCTAGCTGTCAGCCCGGCAGTGGTGTCTGTGTAGTTAGAATTTTGCTTGTCTTGCTTCAGATTTTAGCAACTCAAATACATGTTGCTGCTTATAATTTACTGCATGCTGCAGCTCGCTAAGAGGCAGCATTGCTGGTGATATCTTACTTTTCACAAAATGCAACTTGAAATTTGCAGAGGGAATGGATTTCCGTAGCCACAGGACTGTCTGCACTGTTTGTCACGTTTACATGGAATTGGTATTAGGAAGGTTGATCTTCCTTAAACCTGTGTCTTCCTTTTTTTTTTTTTTTTTTTGAGCTGCACGCCTTGCTTATAGACCAGGCTTTATTCTCCAAACGAAATTTGTATCTTTTTTGAAAGAATGTGGAAACTTCTGTATGTTAAGAAAAGAATCTACACAACATGTTTATAACATGCTTCAAAACTGACATGAAACATCAAGGAAATCTAACTATCACTTATGTGACTAAGAGTCCTTGAGAAGTTCTCTAGCACAGTTCTGGTCTACAGCGTGGACCTTTAACAGCGGCTGCCTTCTTGTCGTGTTTGGGTTGTCTTTGAGCTCACTCAGGAATTACTTGTCTGTTGAGATTCACCTACTCTGACCATATTGGCTTTGGCTTTCTATGGTGAGCATTGAGCGTCGGTCATTTTACTGAAACCTTCTAACACTTTGTGTTCTTATTGTGCTTCTAGCCACTGACGATATTGTGAAAGTTGAAGTCTGGGATGTAGTTGACAAAGGTAAGATTTATACCTTCCTTTCTGATGCAGACCCATTGTTCTTTCTCAATTTTAATCAAAAACTGACGTGGAATTCAGAAATACCTACTTACTTCTACTTTAGAAAAAGATCTGTTCTTATTTTTTTTCAAGTGCATGGATGTTACTTCCTGAAAAAATACGGAGAGAGGAGTCTCCTGTGCTAGAGCCCATAATTTGGGACCTTTCCCATTCCAGAAGCAGTTGTTTCATGTGCTTCGTGACAAAGGAAAGAGCCTGCCTGCTTAGTGTGCTCAGCTTCTCTCAACTTTGTAATAAACTTCATCTTCTCTCCTTTATAGTTTATATGTGTTTAGACAGCTACTGAGTTCTTTGTTCTGTTTATAAAAGTTCTTGCCAAGCTGTTTTTGTAAATGAATGCTATTGTTAAATTGGTAAAATGTTATCTGCAGTGAATAATGTATGCAGGAGGGAAGGATAAAAGAGAGGCCAATTACTTAAATTCACTTAGGACAGAAAATGCAATATATTTAATCCAAAATCTGTCCTAAATGCTTAGCCAAGAAGCATTGCAATGTATAAATACATTTTTCATTATTTTTCAGTATTTGTCACAGCATAAAGTCCTATTGTGTAAAAAATCAAAACAACCCCCAAAACACATGTGAAGACGCAATCTGGATGCAGTGCAAATCTGGGTGCAGTGGCATCTGTTCCTAGAAGGGGTTGGGGTTCAGATGTAAATCTTAACAGCCCAGTCTGTAGCCCCAAATGCAGATATCGTTTGGCTTTTAAGAGGCGTTTTGTATCAGCCAGGCTCCTGGTTTGAAGTGCCAATCTGGTCAGGAAAGAAGCTCTGCAAGTCAGTGTCTCCTGCTCTGTGGGTTGTGCTCCTTCTTTGTGTGCTTCTGTCAGTCAAATCTGTCAACCACAGTCCTTGAAACTTAAACTTTTCTGGTTTGGCTGCTGCTGCCTTTCCTGCAGCCTTAGCTGGGATCTGTGCTGGCCCGCGCTCCTCAGCAGAGCTGCATCCGAGGTGCGCTGCCTCCGCTGTACCCCCTGTGCGACCCACACGTGCACTCACGCCGAAAAATAAGGAGATAAGTACAGTAGGGAGTGGGAAAGGGAGAAACGTAACTTTTCACGTTAGCTAAATTGTATTAAAATAGTAAAAAAAAAAAGGAAAGATAATTAAAGATAGGGAGCTCTACTTCAGATGCATAATGGAGCCTTTAGGTTAAACTTGAGCCAATAACTCTAAATGAAAACCCTGGGTGCTTTTTCTCTTTATTCTTTCAAACCCCGGTTTTCACAGTGTAGACAAAACCTCACTTAGGCCAGAGTTGCTGCTGAAGTCAGGCTGATTACAGTTTGGCTTTCAGATCCTGGGATAACATCTGCAGGGCTGGAATCTGAGCAAAACATCTGTTTTCTCGCTGCCTTGCAACTTTGGTATGAATAGATAGATAGTTAATTTGGGAATCATGTGGTTCCAGCATTTATTTCTGTGAATAGCTTCTCTGAGCAGTCATCTTCTCAACTAGAGACTTGTCATTTTTTTTGGCGAAACGGATCAGATTTGGTATGTGCAGATGTTGATAACAGCTCTTCTGATACCGCTTCCCTTTCTGACAGTGGAGCATGTGTTAGAAGTCTCAAGGGACTCTTCTCTCCGCTTTATATTCTTTTGAAATAAAATTGATTCTGTTATCCCTACTTATGGACCACAGATACTTATTTTTATGTAATCAAATGCACTTAATCAATATAGTGTGAAAATTCAGGTCGTCATGATGTAACAAAATCAAATCTTTTCCTATTGCTGTAGCTTTGCTGGTTCTTGATAAGTACAACTTTAGGAAAATGTGCAAATTAGCCATTAAGAGCTTGCTCTTATCTAACTTTTGTCTTAATGTTATCTCATGGTATTTTTGTTCTTCCTTCTGCATGCTTAGGACAAAAATTCCTCCTGCGTGACGCTTTTGGTGAGAGTGACACTAATCTAGACTGTAGACTTTTAGTAGTGAAGTGTCCAGCGCTGCTGCAGTGTAGTGCTGACAAGACCTGATCCTCCTTTTTCTCCTTGCCTACCAGGTCCTGGCTAATGTGCATATTTAGAGTTGTGCAGAATGCTGCGTTTATCAGGCTGGATTTGAAACTGCCAAAAATGCGTGTTCTGAACATGCATTTCAACATCGTTACTTTCCAGGCTAAATTTTTTTGTCAATGTTTCCCTGTTTTGGAAGAATTGTTCCTTGTTAGAGAAAATTAATGAGACCTCTATTTAAATTAAGATGTTTGAAAATGTATTGAAAGGGTGTAGCAAGACTGCCTAAAAGATGTATCCGTAAACTGCAGTTTCCAACTTTAGTCTTGTAAAGCAGCTTTGGCCTCTTCTCTGCTGTGCAGCGCTGCCATTCTTGGTGGGAACATGCACAGGAGGATTTGGGGAAACTCAAGAAGTTGCACCCTGAAAAACTTCATGTACATTTTTGCACTGAAGTTAAACGTGGGTTTACTAAGTGGTGTTTCTCCTCGCGCTTGCCAGCAGCGTGCTTCCCCGTCCTTGTTAGTTCAGCAGCCTGCTTTGATTTTTCCCTCCAGACAGTTTTAGGAATGCAGGAGGCAGCGCTGTGGGCCCTGCCTGGCTGGTGCCTTGGTGTCAGCTGTTCAGTGTGTGGATGGTCGGTTGGAAGTGTGGGGAGACTTGTTGTGAAAGCTTAAAACCTGTGAGGTTGGTTAGTGCGCTGAGGAGGAGATGGCAACCACTGCACTGTACCGCTCCTCCTGCCTTTTCCTTGACAGTTTGGGATTTCTTTTCTTTAATGTGCAGGCTCACTGGAGTACAGACTTCCCTGCAGCCTTCTGCATTCTCCTTGGGCCTGCCCAGAGACGGGGCTCGTTTGTGTAATGATACCATTTGTTAAAATCTTAACGAGCAGAGCCTGCCCCCAGCTAAGGATTGTATTGAATTTTGTGTGTAGTAAACACCGTCTCCTCTGCTGCCCTTGAATTAATGGAACATAGGAAAGAAATCCGTCAGCACAAGTCACAGTCCCGACTCATCTGCCTGGCTTTGCAGCAAGTTGTGTAACTGCTGCAGGTCATAAAGCTGTGACAGATCCTAAATGCAATGAAGCCGCTTGGATGCAGGTGATTCAAGAACAGTTTGGGTCTCCTGTCTTGTAACTTCTGCTGGGTTGGTTCCTGCTTCTTTGCCTATGCACTAACTGAAGGGAGCAAATCATATTTTTTTTTCTGTCGCTCACAAAATAGCATAAACTCCTTTCCTCATACTGGAGATTCCTTTCCTCTCCCTGCCCCTTCACCCCTCTCCCTCCCAGAGGTGTGCTGCAAGGGGCAGGATAGCTCAGGCTTAATATTTCTGTTATTTTCAGTTGTCATAAGTTGGGCAGCCCTGAGGATGCAAACATTCTAGACGTGTGTTTTTGAATAGTGAACAGAAGCATCTGCCTCGCACTGTGGACAGCATTTCTTGGCAAGCTGTACTGAATCCCTGCTGCCCTGCAACAAAACTGATGGTACACAGAGGTGCAGAGGCTCTCAGGTGCTGGCCGCGAACCCAGGCTTCTGGTGTTCAGTACGAACTGTTGTGTAGACTTGTGGACACTGCTGCAAGGTTATTTGGTTTCAGGGTTGCTGTTATGCCTGTAAATACGGAGCAGTCATCGTTCTAGGCAGAGGAGCTCAGCAATTGCGACGTGAAGGCCCTTGCTTTCTAACTGAGGCTCCTAGATTACACATCAGTGCAACCTTAAAGACAGGACCTCGTAACAACACAATCTTCATTGTGCACTTGCCTTTACAGGCTGAATTGCATCTTTTCACTACATACATCTTGTCTTCATCTGGCTCATCCTGCAGTTTTCATTCCAAAAATAGATGCTGTGCATGAGTATGTGTACACATGCGCTTTTCAGCTCTGTTACTCCTTTGTAGGTGACCTCCTTTACAGCAGTATCAGCATCATGTATGGATATTACTCATTCCTCTTGATACACACAGAAAGCCACAAGTGGGGAGAGGTGTGCGAGCCTTCTATTCAGTCTCAAAGCGTTGGTTGTAAATGTGTCAGGTTGGAAAGACACCTTGATTGCTCAGGATGGGAGGAACTATGAGGAGTATTTGTGGTTGCTTGGGCTTCTGTTTTAATAACTAGAAATTCGGGTCATGCCAAGCATAATTTAGCAGTAACTACAGAAACAGTGATGTTTTGATACTCGGGGAAGCCACACAAATGCCACTGACTTGAAATGAATTTAATTGACATGGGAAAAGGCATGTACGTCCTAGACATCCCACACCTTCAGTTGCGCTGGGAAAAATCAGAGCCCGTTCTCAGATCCTCCAGGGAAACTCGTTGCGTGGATGGGCAATGGTGAGGATCAATATTTCTGCGACTTTCAGCTGTCAACAGTAAGATGACATGATGGGGGCAAACATTTTGTGGTGGTGCACAGGAGCACCCACCAGACACGCTGTCAGGGCGTAGGGACTGCAATCTCCTGCTGTACCCTGCAGCATGAAAACTTTAATGAATAACTCTGTATTTCGGAACTATCTATCCTTGACCTGTATGCAAAAGGGATGAAACACTTTCTTTCGCATTCAGCATCTGGCAGAACCATGAGTTTTACAAGTAGTTGTTCCACGTTAGTCAGCAGAGTTGAATAGTTGTCAGAACCTGGTTTGGTCCCCAGTGTTGCAGAGTCTTTTAAAGAGTCAGTGGGAGGTTTTTTTGCGGGTGCATCCAAGCTGCCAACGCATTCTGTTGTCAGTGACACAGGGAATTTCGAGAAATTACGAGAAAGAATTCCAAGTCACTGCCATTGTAACTCGTCATTATTTAGACTGGGAAAACGGTGAACAAGTTAATTCAGAAGTACAGTTCTTCATTGCTGTCAGTAACATCTGGAAGATATTTGCTATCTGTAAAACATAACTCCAGATCTTGCCGGGTTATGCATCGCACAGTGCTCATCATTTGAGAATACTCTGGAAACTGTTGTGCACAGATAGAGTTTAAACAATATTGGGGGGGGGGACACAGATTTTTTCATGGTATGTCTGCAGTAAACTTCTTTGGCAGTAGGTCAAAGAAGATGCCCTCCCTCTTACCTGTTGAGACTCCTGGCAATCCTTAGTGCCAAGTGTCTACTCCAGAAAATCATGTTAGTTGATTGCCACTCTGCTAATTTTAGGTACAGATCCGTGGTGTCATACTTCTCTGTCTGCTGCGGTTGCAGGCTTTAAGATTTGGAACCATGATTACGGTGTAACTGATGTAATGCAAAATTTTCAGGGAGCCTGAGGTTTAAAAGCACCAACTCCTTTTCTGGGAGTGCTGAGTCAAATGCCAGCGGTACTTTAAAATGCCAGTTTGTGAACTTTCCCAGTGCTTATTGAAGCTGTAAGAAAAGGGAGATGTCTTAAGGGGTCTGCCCTTTAAGTACAAGGCCTGTGTTTTAGTGTGTGCCTTAGAGGAAGCAGATGAGTTGGAGAGAAACCTGTAGATTCCTCCAGATGGGGTTGTGTCTGTGGGTCTGCAGGGCAGGTCTCTATAGTGGTTTTCTAGTGTCTCCTCCAAGCATTCAGCCTGTTGCCTCTTGCACTTCCCTGTGATCTTGATCAGACTTTTACCTCTCCTCTAGCTTGTTTTTGTGTGCGTGTGGCTGGAGCCTGTGGCGTTGGGTGGTGCCTCTGGAGGATTTCCCTTTGGCACCATCGCTGGTGATGACCAGACCTGACCCCCTGGCTCTGGCCTTTCATGCACGTGTAGGCCACCTCTCCTCTGCTCCTCCACAGCCCCCTTGCCCCAGATCATTTGATTTTGCTTGGGTTTCCCCTTATGTAAGTTCTGTCTGTCTTTTGGCTCTTAAATTCTTGTAGTCTCCTGCCACTCCTTTTTTTTGGTCACCAGTCACCCCAAAGCACCCGATGGGCTCGGGGGTCCCATTTCTTTACAAGACTGCTTGCTTCAGGTCAGTGACACAGCGATGTCATAGTGTCTTTCGGGAAGGCCACATCTGTAGTTGTGCAGTACAGTCGTAGCACCCCTACAATTTTTTGCTTCTTCAACACTAACACAACAAAAAGGGCAACAAAGCAGCTTCCTTCTGTGGTCAGGGGGTGCACCAGACCCTGTGGTATTCGGTCATTGTGACTTTATGCAGTGAAGAGCATGGTTTAAGCTACCCCAGACTTCCTTCCTATTCAGCTTTGAATTAGACTAGCAAGTGTTCTTGAACAGGGTAGCTGGTGTTCTTCAGCAAGGCATGCCTGTCCCACCCCTCCTCGTTCCCCGTGCTTATAGTAGAAGTCAGATCTGCTGTGAGGTCATGTTCAAAACGCTGTGGTCCTGCCCAGGCCCTTCCTGGAGTTCTCTGCCCAGTGTAATGCTTTTTTTTATTCTTTTTTTTTTTTTTTACCATTCTTTTTAAGGAAAATGCAAAAAACGAGGAGATGGTTTGAAACTGGAAAATGACCCTCAGGAGGTGAGTCACCTTGAATGCAGATGTCTGCCTCTTAGCGGGAGGCCTCTAACCCGCCTTTGGTCCACGGAGAGTAAGTTCTATATTTACTTTTGCTCTAAGGCCAGCCTGGCAGGTGGATGAGGGGCGGTGTAATCCCTGATGCTCTTCCCTCTTTTGCCCATCCATTTTATCCTTGTTCGTGCCCTCATCACAACTTTCCTGCTGTTTTCTATTCTGTCTTTTGGGAATGGCTGTGCCCCAGATGTTTACTGGGTAGCTTTATACCTGTCTGCTCGTGGGCAGTGTCAGAAAGTCCTTTTGTAATGGACTTCTTGTGAGACCTGGAGAAGTCACTTGATGCCATGCTCTCTGGCTGCTCCTTAAAACTGGGCTAACAATTACCTTTTAACACCCTTGGAAATCTAGAGGAGGAAGGGGTGATAGAAGTGCTGCCTGGCGCGTGAAAGTGAACAGAGTGGCCTCCTCAGGGTTCTTGTGCGAATGTGTCTCCTTTGGATCTTCTGCTGTAGAACAGAGTGCTGTATGGGAGACCACTTCCCCAAACCACAGTTGGGCTGCCCGTGGACTCCCATGGCATCTCTTTCAAAAGTTGTGTGATTGAAGCCTCAGGAAAAATTCAGTTTGAAGGCCCTTGATCCCATGATCTCTGCTGCAGCTCTTGAAGAGCTTTCTGGCTCCCGTTCCCGTGTCAGTGCCCTTCGGGGCTCGGTGCACGGGCGGCGTTCTGGTACTCGCTCAATAACCGCTTTGTTGCAGTTGGTGGGAAAGGCCGTGTCACTGCTGTGCAGACAGCTGAGCACTCAGTCTGGGGATCGTCAGGGCAGTGAAGAGTTACCGCTCTCACCAGGGAGCCAGGCCTCTCCTATCTGGTCAGATGAGGAGAATTTTCTTTTCAAAAGTTCTCCTATGGGAAGAAGCCTCTGTGAGAACAGATGACACAGCTGCTTCTTCCTCCGCAAACGTGGGTGCATTTTCTGCTCCTGGGAAATGAGTGAAAGTTGTTCCATAGGCACCAAACTGCAGCAGGAGCCTTGGAGGTTCAGTTGTACTGTACTTTGCAGCGTGCAGAGTCCTAATGATGAAAAGCAACCCGAGTGCTAATAAATACTTTCAGCCCTGCACGGCAGAAGCTGGGTAGAAACTATGTCCTGGCTTTGTACACCAGAAGCATTAGAAGTACAGTCAATGTTTAGGTCACCAAAGAGATGGAATGGGAGCTGTGTCCTCTGTCCTCCATCCTGTAGCTTATGTGGAGTTACCTTGTCAATGCGGGATTTGGGAGCCCAAGGGAAATTTTAGCATTTGCTGTCAGATACATTGTTTTTCAGAGACTGTCAGGTGCTTCACATCCTGCTCCTGGGGGCAGCGGAAGCTGTGAACCACCAGGTGTCTTGCTTAAATGATGGTGATGTGAAATCCACAGCTCCTTCTTAGAGTGACTGTCACTTTAGAAAGTTTGCCTATTCAGCACTGTATTTCTGTACAAGCCTGAACTCGAATCAAGTTATTTACTGCTTCTTTGCCTTTATTTCCTCAGGCAGAGTCAGAAATGGCTCTGGATGCAGAGTTCCTGGATGTCTATAAAAACTGCAATGGTGTAGTGATGATGTTTGACATCACCAAGCAGTGGTAAGTCGTCTTCGGCAGCACGCACCGCGTGCTTCTCACTAGTTTAGTGAAAACAAAGGACTTCTAGACCCCTTGATTCCCAGATGGATTCTGGAGCCGATAACCAGCCTAATGAGTTTGTAGCCCTTAAAATAATAGCGTTGTCTTCTGACGTGTCTCTTAATATACTCCTCTCCTGGGCTTGTTTCAAACAAACGGTCTCCCTGTGGGCTTGTGTGCTGCAGTTTCTGATATACTGCTGTCTGAGGCTGGATAATTAGTGCTGTCACAGGTGCAAAGTGTGCTGGGCATGTTACAAACCCCCGCTCTCAGGAACACAAGGGAAAGGGGAATGCTAGTTAGAAATTCCCAGGAAGACTGGTATTAGTAAGGATTATTTACAGGCCCTAGGCTGCATTAATGTACAGAATAATGAACTGTTCATTTTGCACATCTGCTGAGGAGGATGAGACACATAGGGAAGCCAGAGTGGAAAGAGGAGGTGGTCAGAGTTCCTGCTTTATATTTAAACTTGTGTTTGACAGGTTTGGTGTGGGTCAGTGAGCCTGTTGACAGCTGAAGGGAGGGAATCCTTTTCTTCTGCTGACCCCACGCAGTTTTGTAGGACTAAGGGAAATATTGCCGCAGGAGATGTGAGGTTGCTGGTGGAAGTGGATTATTGAGCTTGTCAAGTTGTTTTTTAATAAAGAATGATACAAATGTATTTACAGTTCATGTATTTCTCTGAGGGGGGGCAAAAAAGCCACAGTCTTGGAAGGATTTTGGAAAAAAATTTCTTACTTTGTTTTTTTTTCTGTGATTTGTGCATGAAACTGCTCACAGAATGATGTTTTCCACTCATCTGCCTGTATTTCTGTCTCCTCTGGTGAAGGACATTTAACTATATTCTGAGGGAGCTTCCTAAAGTGCCGACCCACGTTCCAGTGTGTGTGCTTGGGAATTACCGAGACATGGGGGAGCACCGAGTCATTCTGCCTGGCGACGTGCGGGACCTCATTGACAATCTGAACAGGTGAGGGGGGCAGGCATTGGGGCAGGCCGGGGGGCAGGCAGGGGAGCAGGCATTGGG